TATAAATTTTATTCCAACTAATATAATTATAGAAGTATAAATAGGCAAATATTAACTTGAAAGTAATATTAACGTTATACAATTTTAAATTAAATAACATATAATACAACTAATATAATTATAAAAGTACAGACAAGCAAGTAGTAACCATAAATATAATGATAAGTTTCAATAGTTTCAATATTATTGCCTATTCATCACTACTATCATTCTCCTCAACATATGTTTCTATGTTTTCTTCTTCTGATGTCTCAAAATCTTCCCATTCTCCTTCTTCATCCTCTTCCCCAATCCCCTCCCCAACATCAGCTTCTTCATGTATTTCAATAAACCTCCCATCAGAATATTACACAGGTTCATAAGCAATGTCATCAATATTTATTTGTTAAGGAATAGGAGGCTCATCGTCTTGAAAATATGGTGTCAATCCTTCTTGTTGGTCATCTTTATTCTCAGGAGCCTCAATGATAATCCTAGCTTTAATTTTAAGTGCAGCAATCCATCCCCTTCTTTCATGATTAATAGATGGGTATGGTGTATAATAAACTTGCCTTGCCTGACTAGCAAGAATGAAAGACTCATAAGATCGAAGGTATCTTCTAGGATTAATGTCAACCAATGGATGTTTTTGATCCACTTGAACCCCTTGAGCAGGAGGAATCTCATACCAATCACATTTGAATAAAACAATTGCTTGTCGATGGATCAATCCATAATACTCAATTTGAATTATTTCTTGAAGCACACCATAAAAATCATAATCTGATTCAGTACCAATAGATCCGACAACACAGACACCATAATTCATTGTTCACTTATTTCTACCATAGAGGGCAGTGTGAAATCAGAATCCATTGACAATATATCAATTATAGCAAGAAACATAATTTTTTGGACCGCTGGATAAACCTTTGATATGCTCATAAACATTAATGAACTCATCACTAATTACCTAAAATATATAGATTGCAGAAGAAAATGTTAGATGCATTTGAAGATAAATAACATATATATGTTAAGGAATTGAATAATCATATTATTAAATACTCACAGCTTGTTCAAACCAGGGCACAAGGTCTCTCTCTCATTTTGCTTAAATTTGTTGAGGATTCATATTTTGACATTATTCTCTCTCAAATAAACTAGAAAATATAATAATAGTTTTTTTTAT